CCCCCCCCCCGCCTCCTGTCTAGCCAAGTTCTGCTCTACAGAACTGAAGAGCTCCCTCCACTCCCTTCCTAGAATTGCCAGCACAACACGGAAGGACCGCAGTGTAACAAGTGCAAAGCTGGCTTCTTTGGGGACGCCACGAAGCCCACGGCCACTGCCTGCCGGCCCTGCCCTTGCCCCTACATCGATGCCTCCCGCAGGTCAGACCCGGCTCAGGCCGTGGCAGGGAAGTGGAGACCTGGATTCAAATGTGACCTCATCGTGGGTCGTCCCGTGTGCCATGAGCTCCCCAGCCTGTTCCCCTTCCATGAAAAGTGCTGCAATGGGCTGCAGTTGCCACGAGGCGACCGACCGGGAGCGGGTGGGCGGGGAGGGGGGCCACGCCTTCTAGCATGTTGTGTCCATGCAGACTCAGCCATTTCCTGGGGTGAGCGTGTCAGGCCTGGCCCCCAGCCCTGCCTACCTGGTGCCCACAGGTTCTCAGACACTTGCTTCTTGGACACAGACGGCCAAGCCACGTGTGATGCATGTGCTCCTGGCTACACAGGCCGCCGTTGTGAGAGGTGAGCACCGGAGGACTGGGTGGGGGGCTGGACTGGGGGTCACGGAAGGCTGCTAATGCCTGCATCTTCCCCAGCTGTGCCCCTGGATATGAGGGCAACCCCATCCAGCCGAGCGGGAAGTGCAGGCCCACCAGTGAGTATCCAGGCCCCTCCTGTGCCTCTTCCTGGGGGCTGCCCACGAGGCTCCATCCCAGATCCTTGAGAGCCACCTCCCTCTGCCTGTCTTGTCTGTCCTACATCTGTGCCACTCTCACCTGCCTTTCCAACACCCACCTGTGCCCCCAGACCAGGCGATCGTGCGCTGTGACGAGCGAGGCAGTGTGGGCAGTGCTGGAGAGTCCTGCCTCTGTAAGGTAGGCCACTGAGCGAGGGGTGAGGAGCCCGGCCCGGTGCTGCACACCTGCAATCCCAGCACTGGGAGGCCGAGGCAGGAGGGTCACAAATTTGAGTCCTGCCTGAGCAACTTAGTGAGAATTTGTCTTAAAATTAAAATTTTTAAAAAGCTGGGAATGTAGCTCAGCATGAAGGCCCTAGGTTCAGTCTCCGTACTGGAGGGGAAAAAAAAAAAAAAAAGAAGTGACCTGGCTTTGGGTAGGAACCGCAATTAGGAAGTCAGGTGACCTGAGTTAAGACCTCACCGGGGGCGCAGCCACTGTGTCTGCGCTGTGTCTTCCCCTTCCCCTCACCTCTCCAGGCCTCAGATGAACAGAGTTAGTGTCCCCACAGACAGGCTCAGAGACGGAACACCGCTCACATTCAGAGTGAGGAAATCAGTGTGACTGGAGAAAAGACCGACCGGTCTGGAGTCAGATACTCCTGCTGGAGGAGCAAGCTGAGTAACCTTGTGTGCAGGTCTCTTCCATCCCTAAGCCCAGTACCTCTGAGAGGGATGGAGACATCTGTATCTACCTCTCAGGGTACTTAGGCGAGTGGAGTCAGGTGATGACTGCCGAGAAACTAGCACAGTACATGCAACCCTCCGTAATTTTTAGTAGAAACTACTTCAACCAAGTTGCTTTATTTCAAATCTAAACTCATTTGTGAGCTCTCTGGCAATCAAAGAGAAAAAGGGAAAATAGCTGTACAAGCACCCATGAACTGGAAATCATTGTTCAGATGGTGGCGGTGCCTCATGCTGGATACTTCCAGTGGCTTTTCTGGGTCTCATCAAAATAGTGGGCGGTTCAGGGCACAGCTCCAGGCAGCCCCTCGGGTGGGCTGTCCTGCAGCTCCCAGGTCTGTGCCTGCAGAACAACGTGGTAGGGCGCTTGTGCAATGAGTGTGCTGAAGGCTCCTTCCACCTGAGCACCCACAACCCCGATGGCTGCCTCAAGTGCTTCTGCATGGGAGTCAGTCGCCGGTGCACCAGTTCGTCCTGGAGCCGCGCCCAGGTACCCTTGTGGGGCAGGCTGGGTGGACCGGCCCAGGGCTGGATGAGGCAAGGATCAGTCCCAGGCCACGGCCCCACCGAGCCTCTACCTGCTTCCCAGGTGCTCGGGGCCTCCGAGGAGCCTACACAGTTCAGCCTGACCAATGCCGCGGGCACCCACACCACCAGTGAGGGGATCTCCTCACCCTCATCCGGGGAGCTGGTCTTCTCATCCTTCCACAGCCTCTTGTCTGGACCGTACTTCTGGAGCCTCCCTGCACGCTTCCGGGGGGACAAGGTGGGCAGGGGCTGGGCAGGGACGAGCAGCTGCAGGCCCTGGGAACAGCATCGGCAGAGGCTGGCAGCAATGCTGAGTGTCCTGGAGAATGGTAGGACCCCTGGGAGGGAGAGACGGCCGGGTGGCGGCTGAGCACCTGTCTGTCCCGTGCCCCAGGTGACCTCCTATGGCGGAGAGCTGCGCTTCACCGTGACCCAGCGGCCCCAGCCCAGCTCTGCGCCCCTCCACGGGCAGCCGCTAGTGGTGCTGCAGGGCAACGGCATCACCCTGGAGCATCACACTTCCCGGGAGCCCAGCCCCGGGCAGCCCAGCACCTTTACTGTGCCCTTCCGGGAGGTGAGCCCTTCAGGGCGCGGTGGTGATGGCCCCGCTCCTCCCACACACACCAGCACCCAGGGTGCCAGGGCTCACGCTTGAGTGTCCTCTCCTTGGCAGCAAGCGTGGCAGCGGCCTGATGGGCAGCCGGCCACGAGGGAGCACCTGCTGATGGCGCTGGCGGGGATCGATGCCCTCCTGATCCAAGCGTCCCACACCCAGCGGCCCATGGAGAGCAGGTGTGGGTCCCAGCAGGAGGACGAAAGGGCGCACCGGGAGGGGCTCCAGGAAAGCTGAACTGAGGGGCAGCCAGGCTGCAAGCCATGCCCCGTACAGGTTTTGTGGCCTTCTCGTGCCTCGTGTTTCCCATCCATTGGAAGGAGGTTGTGCTGATGTCTCTGCCCTCAGGCAGGTCAGGGCCCCTAGAAGGTACAGCCTGACTCTGGGGTTGATGTGCACACGATTCCCATGGAAACTTGCGAAGAAGAGGGGACCCAGGACAGGCCAAGCAGGGATGAGTCTTCAGCCTCATCCCACGGGGCATTCTGGGGAGTAAACGTCTCTGTGGAATCCTCGCATGTGGAGGAGGAGGGGCTCTAGATCTGCGCTCCTTCACCTGCCTGGGCTCTGGGGAAAGTTTCAGGCATGACCCCTTAGCCCCAGCCCATGTGGCTGCTGTGATGGCCCTGGCTGGGCGTCTGGACAGGGCCGCACTACACTGTGACAGGGCCATTGCAGGGATGCCCTGGGTGATGCGCCTGGGACTCCAGACGCTGCTGGCACAGACTGAGCACACACTTACCCGGAGTGCGTCTCACATGCACAGGGTCTCCGACCTCAGCATGGATGTGGCTGTGCCTGAGGTCACCAGCCAGGACCCTGCCCTGGAGGTGGAGCAGTGCACCTGCCCGCCGGGTTACCGGGGCCCGTCCTGCCAGGTGAGCCCAGCCAGCCCCCCACCGTGCTCCCCGGCTGTTCCCTCTAGCTCCCTACCTCTCGGGGCACCTCCCAGCACCTCCGAGCCCAGCACGCCCTCATCTCCTGTTCCTAGGACTGTGACACAGGCTTTACACGCATGCCCGGCGGCCTCTACCTGGGCACCTGTGAACGCTGCAGCTGCCACGGCCACGCGGAGGCCTGTGAGCCTGAGACAGGTGCTTGCCAGGTGAGTCCTCCTTCCTCCCTACCTGAGGATCTGTGGCCTCCCAGGGCCTAGCCCTGACCGCTCTCTGTCCCCACAGGGTTGCCAGCACCATACGGAGGGCTCTCGGTGTGAGCAGTGCCAGCCAGGATACTACGGAGATGCCCAGCGTGGGACGCCCCAGGACTGCCAGCTGTGCCCGTGCCATGGAGCCCCTGCTGCTGGCCAGTGCGTCTGGGCCCTGCCCTTTCTTGGGGTGTCCACTGCCCCTTTCCGTGTTCCCCCTCCCTGGTCCTGTTGAGAGGCAGTGATTAAATCCTGGGTGTGGCTTCCTCCGTGTGGCACCTGTAAGAAGAGACACTTGCCCTCAGCACCTGGGCCTCCCCACCCATGGAGCGGGTAGAGCCCCCACCTCAGCCCCTGTGCCCGAGAGAGTGAGGCGATGTGCAGGGGACGCGGTCAGGCCCTCTCCTACTGTGGTCCTGAGGGAGGGTCTACTGCCTTCCTGACTACACACCCCCTCCCTCAGGGCTGCCCACACCTGCTTTCTGGACACAGACGGCCACCCCACCTGTGACTCGTGTTCTCCAGGCCACAGCGGGCGTCACTGTGAGAGGTGAGGCAGGTGGCAGAGAGGGGGCGCGCAGGACAGGCTCTTGGAGCCCTCAAGCAGGTCAGCTCTCCTGTCCAGGAGGAACCAGGCCCCCACAGACTGGCATTAGAAACCCTCGGACCCACTGGGGCTGAGGCTTCCAGAGGTCCCTTGCACTTGCTGAAAGTCCTCTGCTCGAGACCTGATTGAGCCATTTTGCTGGCTGCCTGGCCTTGAGCACAGCTCTGCTGTCCTCCGTGCATCCCCATCACAGGCCTGGGCTCTTCACAGGCTCCCCAAGATTCAGCTTTTCCTCTTTGCAGGTGTGCCCCTGGTTACTATGGCAACCCCCGCCTGGGCCAGCCTTGCCAGAGTGAGTAGCATTGCAGGGATAGGGAAGTCACCAGGGTCGGGCTCCTCAGTCTCTTGGGGTAGAGCCAGGACAGGGCCTCTGTCCCCCCATGGCCTGGAGCAGTGGCTTTACCTTTCTGACTCCCGTCTGCTTCTGCATGTGTCTCTGACCCACCGCCTGGCTTTGAGGGAGTGCAGATCCCACAGCCAGCCTCACACCCCCCCCTTCTCCTTGCCAAGTTGCATGCTGGGACAGCATTGGGAATGGGGTACCCAGGGATGTTTTGGGGCTCCTAGTTATAGATTCCCTCCACCTCAGGAGACGGCCAGGTGCCAGATGGGACAGGCTGCAAATGTGACCCCCAGGGCAGCATCAGCAGTCAGTGTGATGCCGCTGGCCAGTGTCAGTGCAAGGTCGGTCCAAAGCACTGTGATCTTCGAGGCCTGGCTCTGCCCAGGGTGGAGATGGGGGTGGGACAGCGCTACTCCAGCTGCTGGCCTCAGGGTCTGGGCGGGTGCAGGAGACCCCCGGCTCTCGGCACACACCTGCTGTCTGCCTACTGCAGGCCCAGGTGCAAGGCCCCACCTGCAGCCACTGCCAGCCCCACCACTTCTACCTGAGCGCCAGCAACCCAGAGGGCTGCCTGCCCTGCTTCTGCATGGGTGTCACCCAGCAATGTGCCAGCTCCTCCTACACTCGTCACGTGGTAAGAGCTGGGAAGTCCAGGGCCTGGGACCAACCGTGTCCCAGTTCCCTCTGGGAATACTCTCCTGTCCCCTTTGTCCGCATCTCAGCACTGAGCCCGGAGGCCCTGAGCCCTGACCAGGACTCCCGTGTGCCCATTACTGCTCATCTCAGAGCGAGCCCAGCACCTCCCCATCCTCACCCTGATGCCCCCACCAGCCTTGATCTCAGCAAGCACCCGTTTCCTGCCCGATGCCCTCCCGTGCCTGGGCCCCTAAGGTGCCGCAGTTCTAGACTGACACTCGTCCTCCTTCTGTTGCCAGATCTACACCTACTTCGCCCCTGGGGACTTCCAAGGCTTCGCCCTGGTGAATCCACAGCGCAACAGCCGCCTGGCGGAAGACTTCACTGTGGAACCTGTGCCCGATGGCGCCCAGCTGTCTTTCGGCAACTTTGCCCACCTGGGCCACGAGTCCTTCTACTGGCAGCTGCCGGAGATGTACCAGGGAGACAAGGTGGGACATGTAGCAGGGCTCAGGCCACCCAGAGAGCACCAGCTCTGAGCTGGGTCCCTCTGGGGCGCTGTGGCGGAGGCACTTAAAAGCTTACCCCGAGCAGTCTCAGCAGGAGCCGTCTTTCCCCACAGCTGCCATGTCATGGTTCGGCACATGGCTTTGGGGTCTGGTAGATGTGGATGTAACTCTCTGGACCCTCTGCTGATCCTTAGCTCCAGGGAGCTGGGAGGTTTGGAGGGGGCTCCGGGCACATGATACAAGTTCAGCCGGTAACAATTCTGAACTTTTGTGCAGTTTCCAACAGACGAATCTTGCCCTGGGCCCTCCAAACACAAGGACAGATGAGGCACAAGTCGCTTTCATTCACTTAAAACCCACTGGTCTGCACAGCAGGCTCTGAGCTGGGGGTTGGGCATAGTCATTCCTGCAGGTCACTTCTCCTGAGCCCTTACGTTGTGCCAGGCATTGTTCCGGGACTTTTATGCCAAAAGCCACAACTGTCTGGTCCAGATACTTCACTCCTACTGCATAACTGAGGAAACCAAGGCGGGACAGGCTTGGGGGACCTTACCTAAAGCCCCACAGCTTGGAGGTGGCAAAGGCTGAATTCAAGCCCGGATCAGGGGCTGTGGAGGGTGTCTTTTCTGTGCTGAGTCATAGCGGAGGGGGTCTGGGGATGGTACTGTGGGCTGAGGTCTAAGGGGTGGGCTGGGGCAGCCTGCCCACGTGTGCTCTTCAAGTAGTCAGCCTTGTTGCAGAGTGGCTGCCTCGTGGCCCTTCTTGAGTTCCTGCCTTCCTGTCTCCCTGTCCCCCTTTCCCTCACTCTTAAGCCTTTCTCTCCTCTCCTGGCCTTCCCTTGGGCCCCACAGGCAGAGGCATACTTGGCGCGGATGCGCCGGGCTCACCAGGTAGGCTGTGCTGTGAGTGGCTGGCGTTGGTGTGCTGCAGGCATGGTGTGTTCCGAGTGCCTCGTCCCGCGTGGGGAGTTGTGCAGTACCCAGGACAGTGTGGGCCTGCATGAGTTCAGGGAGTGCCTCACGGTCCCAGGCTCAGGGCACTTCTGTGCCCAAGCCCTGTGTTGCCACCAGGAGAGTCTGTGTGCCTTTGCTCGCCTCCCTGCCTGTGGTCTGGTCCTGAGCCAACTGTCTGCAGTCAGGATGGTGACCAGGGTGGCAGGGAAACTAACCAGATGCTAATCTGCATGACTGCACCTGGCCCTTCGTACTTCTCCCTGGGAAACCTCCATCAACCCTTCAACCCTCATGTGCCTCCTCGGCCTTGGGTAACCCGCTTCTCAGCCCCGAGAGGTGAGCATGCATCTTTCTCACCAGGCAGTGTGGCCTTTTCTGGCCACCGTGTCCATGGGGAGAAAGCTCTGTGTCCAGCTCTGTGTCCTCGGGAGGGCTGAGTTGGCTTGTGACCTCCACCCCATCAGAACCGCACATCCCTCTCAGAGGAGCAGTGGCGGGCAGCTGTGACAGCCAGGAGGATCCTGGGGCCCCCAGAGGGTAGGGGTCATGCACAGCAGGCATCACAGGTAACCAGGAGCTTGGCCAGGACAGGCTATGTCTGGGACCAGGGAACAAGCTTGAACCAAGGCCTGGCCCTTCTGGACCATTTTCCTCTATGCTGCTCCAGGCCCAGCCCAGTGCCCAGTCCACAAGTGGCTCGGGCTCCTGCCAGAGGCCCAAGGAGCAGCCTCCAGCACCCCAGAGGCAGTGGGCCACCCCTAGAACCTCTGTCCTCTGCCGGTACAACTGCCTGCCCTTCTCTGGCTGGGCACCCTCTGGAGGCCTCTCCCTGGCAGGGCTGGCCCATCCCTGGGTACTCACTGGGCTCCTGAGGAGCAAGTGAGCAGAGGGCACAGGGCAGAGTCATGGGCATTGGCACTGGCGTGTGGATGGCACAGAAGTGGGAGGCTGTGGGTTTGGTGTAGGCTGGGGGAGGGCAGAGCCTCACGGGTGCCCTTTCTGTCCCATTCTGTCCCTTGCCTGTGTTCTTCCTCCCCCGGTGCCCCAGGTGGATGAGGCCCAGAGGCGGATTGATGCTGAGATCTGGCAGCTCCTTGCCAGCTTTGCTGCCCACCCCCAGCCCCATCCCCAGGGGCTTCCTCCCCACCCCCAGCCTGCAGCTGCTCTTCGAGTACCTCCTCGCTCTTCTTCCTCCTTCTCTTCCTCCTCTACTCCTCTGTCTTCCCCAGCAAGCTCTCAGGTATGTGCCACGGTACCTGCCCAGGGACCCACACCTACCTAGGGACCCCCACCTGCCATGCTGTACGGACCACAGGCATTTCTGACTCAGCTGCACAGTTTCTTTTTCTTTTCTTCTTTGGTACTGGAGATTGAATTCTGGTCCTTGCACTTGCGAGGCAGGTGGCAGCACCACTGACCTAAATCCCCGGTCCTGAATAAGTGTGGTCTGTATCACTTTTTTTTTTTTTTTTTTTTTTTTTTTTTTTTTTTTAAAAAAAAACTGGGCATCGAACTCAGGACCTTGGCTTGCAAAGCAGGCGGTGGAACCACTGAGTTAAATCCCTGGCCCTCGGCTGCACAATTTCTGTTAAGATTTCCCTTTACATCAGTCCTATACCATGTAGTTATGATAGCTATGCATTTTTAGTACATGTGCAAAAAGCCACTAGATTTTAAAACATTTCCCGGTGTGCCACACATCTCTCGGGGTCCATGAGAGGGACACAGCAGACATGGGAAGATGCCCCCGTACCATGCCCAGAGAGAGCAGCCAGGTCCCTGTCTGGGGGTGAAGCCAGCTGCCCAGAGAGCAGGGTGAGGACCTGAGTGCAGGGCGCCCTATAGCATCTGTGTCCCTGGTCCTGCCCCACTCTGACCACCTGCCCTTCTGTCCTAGTTCTCTCTCTCCTATGAAGGCTTCTCTCTGCTTCCCGAAAGCCTCTATTATTGGCAGCTGCCCCAAGCCTTCCTGGGGGACAAGGTAATGAGTTGGGATTGTGACAGGTGGGTAGATGGAGGCCCATAGCAGGGAAGGAACTTCCTTGAGGCCTCAAGTACAGGTCCCGCTACAGCCAAGTGCTGAGTAGTCACTGTGTGCTGTGTTGTGTACAGGCAGAAGAGCAGTGTCCCGGAGCTCTTGTTGGCCCAGCTCTCGCTGCCATTGTTGACATTGTTCTTACCTTCGGCATTGGCCTTGGCATTGATGTTGTATTGATAGCACTTCCGTGTTGTTCCTCAAATGACACAGAGCGCTCTTCAGACTGTGTCTAATGTGCAACGAGAATGAGATTCGGGGCACAGGGGAGGAAGAGGGGTCGGCAGTGGTGGGGAGTTGCCCGCTTTGACTTGTGTTCTCAGCACTGTGCTTGAGGGTGTCATGTATGTGTTCTGAGTTGCACAATTCTCACGGTGCCCTTAACAGTATCATTTTTACTCCCATTTCCATATAAGGAAAGTGGGGCTCCGCAAGTGACTCACCCAAGAAGTCCACTACTCAGTATAGCTAGAATTGGAGACCAGGTCTGTCCAACTACTACAGTCTTCCCCCATGATTGCTGTACCACACACACCGGCAGCTTGCTAGAAATTCTAGTCAGTCCCAGATGTGGCTATGAACTTGGATAAGCCAATAGGAAACCAGTTGTTTGGTTCTTTCTTGGTTCCTTACCTCACCCTGAGCTTGTGGAGAACGGTTCCAGGGCCCTTGTTGCACAGGGCCTGGCATTTAGCTAGTAGGTGTTTGAGAATGCTCCCCAACTGGAGACCAGAGATTCAGCTCAGTGGTGCCGCACCTGCCTCACAAGCGCAAGGTCCTGGGTTTGATCCCTGGTACCAAAATGCTCCCCAACTGAGTGAGCAAACATAAAAACTAGTGGAGGCAATGCAGTGTGGTACTGAGCTGACCCTGGTGGCTGAGGAGAGAAAGCAAAAGCCAGTGGGGAAGAGCCAGGGCCTCAGCTTCTCACATGAAAGCCCCTGAGAGACCCACAAGAACTCTTCCAAAACAACCAAGGGAAGACCCAAGTCCAGCTGGTTTGTCTGCAACGAAGAATCCATTGGCTCAAATTACTACAGATCCCAGGACATCTGCTATCAGGCATGGCTGCATCCAGGAAAACCCTCAGGCTTTGTCTGAGTTGGTGCTCTTCTGCAGCTTCTCTTCTGACTGAAGCAGGAGGGCCAGGTTCCTTCCCTTGTCTGTCCCTGATGCGGGGAGGGGAGTGGTGGGCCATGCAGACTGGCCAGGCCTGGCTCATTCTGCTGTGGAGAAGGAGGAGGGCCCGTGGGCTGCGTGTAAAGGAAGAGCTGTTCTTTAAGGAGAACCCAGTGTAGTTTGCAGAAAGAGGGAAATGGATTCTGGTCAGACCAAACACACCTACTCCTCCGGCAAATCATCACCTCAGCCCTCGCCTGTGGCTGAGAACAATTGCCCATCATTGTCACTGTTACTACTTCTGTAGCTGTGTGGGAAATTCCTGTACATGAAAAGGGATTTGATGGTGGCACACACCTGTAATCCCAGCACTCGGGAGGCTGAGGCAGGAGGATCACTGGGAGTTCGAGACCAGCCTGGGCTACATAGTGAGTTCCAGGTCGGTCTCAACTACATAGTGAGACCCTGTCTCAAAAAAAAAGGGTGAAGCTCATTGGTGAGACCATCAGGCAGCAGGGAATGGGGAACCCCATAAATCTGTGTGTGATGTTGGCAGGACCCAGAGGCAGCTTGTTTCCGAGGCAACCACAGGCCTTCTGGGGCAAGGGTGTGGCCCAGATGCAGAGAGGCCTTGGGGCCGGGCAGCCTGTGTGACAGGGGTTCTCCCACAGGTGGCAGCGTATGGCGGGAAACTGCGGTACACCCTCTCCTACACTGCAGGGCCACAGGGCAGCCCGCTCTCTGACCCTGACGTCCAGATCATGGTGAGCACTTGGACTCCTGGCAGGCAGGTGGAAGGGAAGGAGGAGTCGGTCTCTGAGCCGGCCTGACAGCCTGCAGCCTCAGCCGAGGCTCACTGGGACCCAGCAGTGGGCAGGTGCCTGTCTCCTCTGGGCGTATGAACCTGGGGAAACAGAGCTGGGGGCCTAGTAGCAGGGAGAGTCTGGGACTGGTGAGGGCCCCCTTTTCTCTAAGAGCCCCTCAGTTCCCCTTCCGATCCCACTCGTGTCTCTCCAGGGCAACAACATCATGCTGGTGGCCTCCCAGCCAGCACCACAGGGCCCTGAGAAGAAGAGTTATGAGATCGTCTTCCGAGAGGTAGGGGAGCTCTGGCCACACGGCGTGTGACCCTGCTTACTGCCGTCCCTCACAGCCTCTCCTTGCCCATCCTCCCCTCTCGCTGGGTCTGGCTCTCAAAGGCCAAGGGGTGGGGACTGCAGGAGCAGCATGTAAAAGAGACCTAGCCCTCATCCACATTTACCGTCCCTCTCCCAGGAATTCTGGCGCCGGCCAGATGGGCAGCCAGCCACCCGCGAGCACCTTCTGATGGCACTGGCCGACCTGGATGAGCTCCTGATCCGGGCCACATTCACCTCAGTGCCCCTGGCAGCCAGCATCAGTGCTGTGAGCCTGGAGGTGGCCCAGCGGGGCCCCTTGGATGGACCCCGGGCCCTGGAGGTGGAGGAGTGTCGCTGTCCCCCAGGCTACATGGGCTTGTCCTGCCAGGTGAGTATGGGGCCGGCCCGGCCTCCTCTGCTCAGTGCGGCACTGACCAGGGCTTGTCGCCATGGCCTGTGGCCAGATGATGCCCTGCCCTTCACAGCATGAGCTATCCTTGCCAGCAGCCCTGAGACGCATGAATTACCCCCTTTATAGACAAAAGAGAGGCACAGAGGGATGGATGACTTACCCAAGGACACGCAGCTAACATATTGCAGAAACTTGTTTGCGCTCAGGTCTGATGGACCCCAGAGCCTTGGTGTCCCAGCCACTGGGCAGTGCTGTCACGAGCCCTGCTGCACTCTCAGAACAACCCTGCAGGGACGGGAAGGCCCACGCAGAAGCAGAGGGCTCTGGACAAAGCTGAGCAAGGACATGTCAGAGAGGGGGGTGCAGAAGCCCAGGAGTAGCATGTGGGGAGCCGGCCTACACTGGAGCAAGGTCACCCCCAAAAGCCAGTGAGGGCCCCTCCTGCTGAGGGAAGGCCGAGCCACAAAGGGAGCACTGCGGTCAGAGCTGGACCCAGGATGGGACTGGCTGGGGGAGATGGAGGTGAGTCCTGTGTGGAGGGAGAGGCCGTGGGGGCAGAGGGCTGTCACTGGGATGGCGCCCAAGAGCCCCTACAGAAGCTCTAGGAGAGCCGGAGTCTGCCTGGCAGGTGCCCAGTTAATGTTTGATGAATGAATGTTGAGCAACAGGAAGGAGGAGCCATGGAAGGAGGCAGGGCTGAAATGCCAAGCGGGCGTCAGGAGGGTCAGGCGTCAGCACATCAGGGACCCACACTTGGAGGGTTCCGCAGGGGGAACCCACATCTCTGCAATGTTCTCTCTTTTTTTGGTGGGGGGGTTGAGACAGGGTCTCACTATGTAGTTGAGACTGAACTGGAACTCACTATGTAGCCCAGGCTGGGCTCGAACTCCCAGCAATCCTCCTGCCTCAGCCTCCCGAGTGCTGGGATTACAGATGTGCGACACCACACCCGGCAAAATATTTTACACCTTTTTTTTTTTTTTT